AGGACTAGCCGAACGAAGGATTATACACCACTGAGCGGACAAGAGAGGGGAGTCAGAGTATTGAGAAAGTCATAGATAAGGCCAACCGAACAACCCTCATATTACCCTCTCATAATTCGGCATGTTGGGGACGAATAAACCAGGGTAAGACGACGAGCAAACGGTCAACTCCATCGACAAATATTTATTTAATATGTATATATATTGATGTATGAGAGAAAATGACTTTTTTACCCCTAAAATCTCTTGTGGATAGGGAGCTTAAAGGCAATTGTGCAATTAATGTTCCTCATATACCTATAAATAGGAAACGCAAAAATGAGAAAAGAGCAGGCAATAAAGCTCATTTTGTTGTTCACTTCTTACCATCCTACATGTGCTATATTCTTTGGGCAGGATTCCAAACATTTTTGTGTTTAACACCCTAAAAGGTGTGGTGAGTGTAGATCTATGCCTCCAACAAGAAGAGGAGCACAACACAATTGCAAAGCAGGCACCCAAGAAACACAAAATCAATTTGTAGAGATGGATAACATGAGGGAGATAGTCCGACAATAAGTAATGATGATGAAGGAACAACTAATACTAGAAATGAGAGAATATATGGTGGGTGCCCTCCAAGAAATCCTGGTTAGGGGAGGCTAGAACCTGCAAAACCAAAAGCCTCACAAATATAGTCACACAGAACCAAACAATAGGCGGAATGGATCAACGCATAACGACTGGCGATCTCAGCCAGAGTAAGATGAGGGCGACAACTCCCATTACCAAGATAGTGTTGGGTCAACGCCGGTGGAAAGGCATCGCACCGTACGTACAATAGTCTGTCCCACGGGGAACAACTTTTCCAGACAAATCTCTTAATCTGAACCACCTGAAAATTTTAAGACCCTCAACCCCCGATTAGTACGAACGTCTCACCGACCCAACCAACCATGTAGTTGCTTTTGAGTCGGTTGTTGGCATTTTAAAGATCACTTATGCATTCAAATGTCGTCTATTCCTCATCACACTGAGAAATTTAGCTCTTCGTTGGTTCAACGCTCTCCAGTTAGGAATAATCCCCTCCTTTAGTAAGTTCAAAAGGTTACTCATGTCCCATTTCGTTAGCTTGCAAAAGCCACAGAAGAAGTCGCAGTCTCTCCTCCAGGTTAGATAAAAGGAAAGAGAAACCCTCCGCTCCTATATGAAAAGATTCCAGCGAGAGATGTTAGAAATTCGAAACCTTGAACTTGTAATCGCTTAAGCCACCCTAATACAAGGAGTTAGAAACAAACAATTTAAATATACACTGGAACTGCGCGAACCGAGTTTAATGGCCAAATTTTTGGAGATGGTCATCGATCATATCGTCGTTAAGGTTAGTGCTCCATAATCGAAAGAAAGCTAAGAAAGCCGTTGAAGACGGTTGACGAGCAAAAGATGACTCCCTTCCTCCTATTCATATGTGCTATTAGGGCGGGCTGCACAGCACAGGAAGTCCAAAGGATGATCGCCACGAAAAACGACCTTGTTACCCTTACTGACACATGCACAACATTACGAATGACCAACGGCCCAACAGGAGCCCCTCTAAGAATCTCGTTGGCTAAGCTAGTGGAGGTCATGCAGGATAAATATTACTTCAAGAAGCATACGTCTATGAGAACCGAAGGCTCCGCTGGAAATCCTAACAAATTCTACGTCTATCATAGTGACCACGACCACAACACAGTGACATGCAGGCACATTAAAAGCCTCATCAAGGAATTGATCAAGGCCGGAAAGTTGAAAGAGTTCGAGGGTGTCGAGGACGTTGAACGCAAACAAGGGAAAGCCCCGTCCGACGGAACGAACAACGAGCCAGTTCGAGACAACACCATTCGAATCGCAGGAATAATACCCTCATTAGGGTCTTCTCGATGATTGAGTTTAAAAAGGGTCCGGTCATAGGACCTATGTGCCACCAGCCTTGTCTCACGAAGAGGGTGGTGGCACACCCCATTATCACGTTCACTGATGAAAACCTGTTGATAAGATGTAATCCTTACAATGATGTGATTGTTATTACGAATTTATTTAACAAATACCAGGTGGGAAGCATACTCATCGACACAAGGAGCTTGATGAACATCTTTTTTTAAATTCTTATTCGACAAGCTTTAACTAGAGACAAAACGGATGGCGACACGGTCCAAGCCTCTCTTTGGATTATCGGGAGAGAGAAATGAGGCCCTTGGGTAATCACACTTAAAGTCACATGGGGAGATAAAGACCGACAGTTTGCGAGGTCTGAAGACTTCTTGGTCGTCAACTCCTGCCCACCTATAACGTCATCTTCGACCGTCCACCCCTAAACAATTTCCAGACGGTAACCTCCACCTACCACGTGGCTGTGAAGTTTCTGGGAGAGGGAGAAGTCATCACCGTCTAAGGAGATCCGGAACAGTCAAGAACATGCAACCTCCGAGTGGTGACCGGCGTCGAGGAAGAGCCGCTCGACCTTCAAAGCCATAGAGAGGGCGGTCTCGAGGCCAGCAAAAACACAATCCAAAGCCCCTACGACCGAAGAAGAAACAATAAATTATTTCTAATCAGTGAAGTTTTTTTATTCCAGGGCGAAGGCAACTCTCATCGAAACCCTCAAGGAGAACTGGGAAGTCTTCGCTTGGTCCACCGCCGAAATGGGCAAGGTCCCTGTAGACGTTGCATGCTATTGGCTAAACATCGACCTCGTTGTATGACCAATAAAGAAAAAATCGTCGCTACTTTATCTGAGCATATCATAAAGAAGTGAAGAAACTGAAGGAAGCAGGCTACATCCATGAAGTTCGGTATCCAACATGGGTATCCAATGTGGTGATTGTGTGAAAACCCAATGACGAGTGGTGAATGTGCGTCGACTTCAACAACTTAAACGATCCTTGCCCGAAGGACAATTACCCACTGCCAATGATTGACGCGTTGGTGGATTCCGGGTACCATCAAATTAAGATGCATCCGCTGACACAGAGAAAACAACTTTGTTTACTTGCGAGGGAGTGTACTATTTTATGTAATGCATATTGGGCTTAAAAACGTCGGAGGTGCCTGCCATCATTTAATAGATGTACTTTTTTACGAAACAAAAGGGAAGGAATGTTGAAGTGTATGTGAATGACGTGTCGGGGAAGAGTAAAACACCCAAGCAACATATTAAAGACTTAAAAGAAATGTTTGAAATTCTTAGGAAATTTAACATGAAATTAAACTCCCTGAAGTGCATTTTTGACACCTCAATTGAAAAATTCCAAGGTTTTCTTCAAACGCCTGAAGGTATCTGGCCTAACCCGGAAAAGGTGCAAGTCTTGCTAGACATGTCTTCTCCACGAAGCAGGAAAGAGATACAAAGATTGACTGGCTAAATAACGCGCTTCAGCCGTTTCATCTCCAAGTCGGATGATAAGAGTGCATTGTTCTTCAAAGCTCTTAGAAAAGCCAAGCATTCGAGTCTCCTAATGCGGAGAAACGTTCAGAAACTTAAGGACTCGTTCGCCTCGCCTCCACTCCTCCAGAGTCCAAAGCCAGGTGAAGAACTCTTCCTATACCTTTGGATCAAACCCAAGCTGTCAGTTCAGTATTAATTCGAGAAGGACAGGTGAAACAATTCTCCATTTATTACACTTCGAGGGTATTGAGAGACACTAAAACCAGACATTGCATCATGAAGAGACTAACTTTTGCACTCAACCTCTGCTTGCAGACTTCGAGCTTACTTCCAGATGCATTTGATTCGGGTTGTCACTGATTACCCTCTCAAATCAATCCTCACTCGACCAGAACATTCGGGCAGGCTCCTCAAATGAGTGGTGAAGCTGAGCGAGTTTAATATCTCTTACATCCCTCAAACGACGATCAATCCCAAGCAGTCGCAAACTTTCTAGCGGATTTCACCAGAATTGTCCGAACGAGAAGAGGGGACCGTTGCTAAACATTGTTTGTGGACTTTGTATACTGATGGAGTCTCAAACAAAACGACCTCAAGGTTGGGCCTCACTTTGTGGAGCACGTACGGTGAGCTCCATTACCATTCAATCGTCATAGATTTTAACGCCACTAACAATCAAGCAGAGTACAAAGAGCTGATCGCTAGACTATGCCTCACCCATCTTATCGGGGCACACCGCCTCAATGTAAAAACCGATTCACAACTTATAGTAAATCAAATAAATGAAAAGTTTGAAGACCAAGATGAAGTCATGGCAAAGTACCTCACCAAGTCAAAGGACGAGATTGGGTGATTCACCGACTTTCAAATCAACCATGTCAGACGAGGGGAAAACTTGGTAGCTGACATGTTATCTAAATGCTCCTTATTTAGAGGCAAGATGTCTCAATGGCTGAGTCAGCCGACGATCGAGGAGCCAGAGGTGATGGAGGTCTCCACTGAAAAAACAAAGGCTTGAATGGATCCCTACATCTGTTACCTAGAAACCGGGGAACTAACGGGCTCGGTTACTAATCTGAAGCTCTTCAAAATCAGAGTGTCTCGGTAATTGATGATGGAGGGAATGCTCTTCAGAAGATCTGCTATCCTTGGCAGATGATGGGGAGTTTGTTGTGTGTTGCTTTTGTAATTTTTTTCAATATTACAAAACACACACGACAATATTAATAATAAATATGCAATTCAATCTCAATAAAAATAGCTTTAGTAAAAATAATTTATCTTTTAAAATTTTTAAACTATCAAACCCGTAATAATAACACAAGTTTACAGATTGCTCAAGTAATAAAGGACTTTAATGGAGTCCTAAGTATCGATCCCACAGGGAAGTTGGAAATGCTATGACTAAACTTTTATGACAATAATGTAAAACATAATTCAAACTTCAAAACTTAAGTATAAAATTCAAATTTAAAGTACTTCAACGTATACTAAATAAATTACAGTTAAAAGAATTAAGTTAACTAAACTATTTGTTAAACTTCAAAAGTAAACTTATAAAAACTAAACAAAGTTTCTGTGATGAAGAGTTCAAATTTAAGAAAACATCATTCCCCTTTACAATGAATATATAGATTGTGAAAAAAATAAAATCATTTGAATATATATATATATATATATATAGTGTCAAATAGGAGCAATCAACAATCATATTTTTTACCCACTTTCGAGTGCATAAAGAACATTGACTAATCCAGAGTTTGGTCTCTAATTCTGTGGTTAGCCAAAATCCCTGGTTAGATTGGGAGGATGCCGACTCTCACTCCAGAGCTCTCATTTCTCCCTCGCCTAAGGGCTAACAATCTCGCATTAATTTTCAATCAACTTGACCAAATTGGGGATTTTAATCTGTCACCTTAAAATCTTTAATTCTACATCCAACAAATTATATTTCTCTATGTATTTGCACTCAATCCCATGGATAACATTCTCACCCATGGAATTGAATATGATTCTCACAATGTTGTAGAAATCATAGCCCTTTTAGATCATATCTTTCTCAATACATTTTAACATTTCAATTGATCTGATAAAAAAATAAATGAAGATCAGAGTTTAAATTATCACAAATTATTGACATTTAAAACTGTATAAAACAAAATCAATTCTTCACAAAACCATATCTCAGAGTATGGAGAAGGATAAAGAAGACAACTTAGAATTCATGAGAATGAAACAACAAAACAAGGATTTCATACATAAAAACAAGTTTACAAAACAAAGAAATAAAAGACACAACTTATCTCACAATCCTTCCCAAGCGAATCTCTAGAAGTTCTCTTTAAGCACTTTCCCTTTTTATAAGCACTCTCAATTCTCTCTTGAAAATGTAATGATGAAAAAATCTCACTTTCCCTCTCTTCTTACAACCCTTGAAGAAAATCTCTAAGTCATTCACTCTCTCTTTCTCCACCAAACTTCTCTACACACCACTCCACCTTTCAAACCTAGACTCCCTTATCTTTAATTAGTGGCTACCTCCCTCTAAAAAGAATTCAAAATTCCCTCCTAAATTCTCTCCAAAAGTCACACATTTGAATCCCAAAAGACATGTTCATCATGTTCATTCATTCAATTCATTCATTCAAGAGACATGTCATTAAAGAGTCTTCCAAAGTGTGTAGATGCATTGAATCGCTCCACGGGGCGTTTGAAGCATTTGGAGCCTTCAAAATTCGCTCAAAATTCGTCTTGAATCCCCTTAATTCATCAAGTGTTGTCTCTGGCGCCTCAGGCGTTGATTCTGGCTTCTCAAGCGCTGATTCTGGTGCCTCAGGCGTCAAGTTACTTAAGTCCGCGCTATTATGGGTTCTAGCGCTTCAGGCGCTACCTCTCTATATAATGGTGCTTCAGGCGCCGAGTATGGTGCTTCAGGTGCTAGTTCTGGCGCCTGAGGCGCTAGAATCATAAAATTCGCTATTTTGACTCTAAATTTCTTCTTTTCGCTACTTTTGTTCTAAATATCTAAAATTGATATACCTGCAACAAAAACATAAAAATTCTATTATAAATTTTTTTATTCTTTGTTGCGTAGGCTTTTGGCTCCGTTTGGTATATAGCGCTTGTTGTCGGAACGATAACTTCGCATCTGGACGGGATTTCGAATAGAATATTTTCTCTATCATTTTGACCATTCACACACAATATATTATGACGTCAAATTAATCCAAATTCGACGGCTCTCAAATTAACCCACATTGCGCCGCCGACTGTTCCGTCTCTCTTCCGTCATCCATGGCCGCTGCGGTAGCTTCCACCTCTGCTCTCCCCTTTCTCTCCTCAAATTCCAACTCCTCAGCCACCCTCAAAAGCACCATTCCCCGCCCTCCCCCCTCTTTCCTCTCCGCCGGATTCGTCCTCTCGCTTGCTCCGCGGCCTCCACCTTCATCGTGGAGGACAACAGCCGACGCGGGCGCCATGCCGACGAGAGCATCCGCGAAGAAGCTTCCCGTCGCGACCACGCCTCACCAGCCAACTCCCAAGGCTTCTCCGCCTGGTACGTTCCTTTCGGCCCCTCTTCCGACTCCGACGAGCGCTACTCTCTCGACGATGTTGTCTACAGGAGCAGCTCCGGTGGCCTCCTTGATGTCCGCCATGATTTTTCAGCCCTCGCCAAGTTTCCCGGCTCCTACTGGCGTGATCTCTTCGACTCCCGCGTCGGTCGCACCACTTGGCCCTACGGCTCCGGCGTCTGGTCCAAGAAAGAGTTCGTCCTCCCCGAGATAGACGCCGATCATATCGTTTCTCTCTTCGAAGGAAACTCCAATCTCTTCTGGGCTGAGCGGCTCGGTCGTGAACACCTAGGCGGGATGCCCGATCTCTGGGTCAAGCATTGCGGCATCTCGCACACCGGATCTTTTAAGGATCTAGGTATGTCTGTTCTTGTGTTCTTGTATCCCATGTTAATCGGCTTCGGAGCAAAACCCTTTCCCGCCTCATTGGGGGCGTTGGTTGCACTTCCACAGGTTATAGGTCTGCTGCTCTTTCAGCCAATTGCACTGCAACAAACATTTCTGCTATTGCCTTCCTGCCTACCGATCGTATTTCATTGGCACAGCTCGTTCAACCCATCATGGATAAATGCCAATGGCGCCACCGTTCTGTCCATTGATACAGACTTTGATGGGTGCATGAGGCTAATTCGTGAGGTGACGGCTGAGCTTCCAATTTATCTCGCGAATTCCCTGAATTCGCTTAGGCTCGAAGGCCAGAAGACAGCAGCAATTGAAATTCTGCAACAGTTTGATTGGGAGGTTCCAGATTGGGTAATTGTACCTGGAGGAAATCTTGGGAATATCTATGTTTTCTATAACTTTCTATAAGGGATTCAGCATGTGCAAAGAGCTTGGCCTTGTTGACAGAATGCCTCGCCTCGTATGTGCCCAGGCTGCAAATGCCAACCCTTTGTATCTTCATTTCAAATCAGGATGGAGCGATTTCAAGCCGGTCACTGCTTCTGAAACATTTGCATCTGCTATCCAGATTGGGGACCCTGTATCCATAGACCGTGCTGTTTATGCTATCCAGAAGACAGATGGAATTGTTGAGGAGGCCACTGAGGAGGAGCTAATGGATGCCATGTCACTTGCTGATCGAACTGGCATGTTTGCTTGTCCGCACACTGGTGTTGCCCTTGCTGCCCTATTTAAATTGAGGGAGAAGGGAGTGATTGGAACAAATGATAGGACTGTTGTTGTTAGTACTGCCCATGGCCTCAAGTTCACACAAGCGAAGGTGGATTACCACTCTGAGAAGATCTCAGATATGGTTTGCAGGTTTGCAAATCCACCTGTGAAAGTGAAGGCAGATTTTGGGTCGGTGATGGATGTTTTGAGGAAGAAGCTAGTCTTCAAGAAGTAGCTTGGGGGAACCCTGTAGGACTTCTGATATTTGAGGCATGTGTTTCAGTTATTTATATGTTTCTGTTGTTTACAATTTTATCAGAAACTTAATGTTGTCTTGATCCTCTTAGCTTGCAGATTTCATAGCCAAAGCAGTTTTGGCATATTTACTATTTAGGAGACTTATTTGGCTTATTTTTATGCATTTTTCTAATCCAAAGTTTCTTTCTTGAGGTCGAGCATTTTCTTGTTTTGATGAAGTTTCTTGTTCGCTATGTTCCATTATCAGAAAATGTGCCATGATTGGAAAATGTGCTATTGATTTAAATGCTGTTAGATACCACCTGCATGCATATTTTACTTCATTCCTTATAGAAAGAAAATCATGATTCTTTGTCAAGTAACTTTATAGGTAAGGCAATTTATATGACACCTCATTTTGTTTTATGCTAATTCTTGTCACAGACGTTAATTGGGCATGTTTGTCTACTTTCTAGTTCACACCTGTAAATTTCTTTTGCATACTTAAATTTATTTATAAGAAGTCACTCCTTTGTTTATTTGATTTGAAGTCTAGGCATGAAGGTTTGTTCATCTATCAAGCTCATTTTGAATTCATATTAATATACTTGAAAAAACATTTGCACATATCACTTTAGTGGTAGCAATTGTCATTGTTAAAAGGGAGAGTATTGGAAAAGGTTATGTTGCCATTTGGTTGGTTGCAAGTATTTATGATGTATCTATATTTTAAATGCCATGTAAACTAAACATATTGCATTTTGATTTCTTAAAGTTGTTTGGTTGATTGTAAAATAATCCATGAAATCTATTTTCTTGTGTTTAGGTGTTTGTAAATAGAAATCAATCTAGGACACAAAAATGCATATGGCAGGGGTGGGGTTGCGAGAGTGACATGATTGACGGGGTTGATGGTGTGAGTCGTAGGAGCGGGGCCTTCAGCACAGACGATGTCTATGATGCATGAACACTTCTAATTAAGCACTCGTGTTGTATCAGACACAGACATGAACATGGGTCTGACATGCCACCGACGCATGTCAAACATAACATGTAGGTGTACATTTGAAATAAAATTTAAAAAAAGAGGATAGGTGTAGGACATGTGTTTCCTAAATTAATGAAAAACATTTATGAAAAATATTTTAAGAGAAGTTAAATTATGTATATTTTTATGTACAATTTAAAAAATATTTATATAGATCTACTCATTTTTTATGTATTTACATGCCTAACACCTAAATTTTAATTTTTACATATATCCTACCTTACATAGATATGAAAATGTGTATTTTACTTTTTAAAACTAAAAATAGTGGTATGTTAAGATATGCAAATACATAAGAATTCAATGTCAAAGAAGTCGGTGACCATTTAATTTCTTTTAATGAATAATTGATTAAGATGATTTAAATCTTGATGCAATGCAAAATAATATATGTTTATTTTTGTATGTCCTAAACCATACAATTATTTATGTACATCTTAAGGGCCATCTGGGATTAGTTTTATTTTATTTATTTATTTTTATTTTGATTTAAATTAAAATATGTTAAACTAAGTTGTTTTTAAAAGTTCTCAAGATATGATTTATATATTTTGATTATTTTTAAATACAACTTAATTTTTTAAAATGAAAATCAAGTTGATTTATCTTCAAAAAAATATTTTAATTAAGCACAAATCTCGATGCACATTGGGACTGGGAGCTCAAAATATTTAATTACATACACCAATGTAAATGAAGTGTTTTCATAAAATTAGCCAACTTATATTGAACCTAGCTCTCTCTGAGGCCAAGTGAGCTCAGATCATGCACTTAAAGCATAATAAGAATTTTGTACCTATATTTTGGGGGATCAAATGATCTTCAAATATAACAAGTTTATAGTCAAATTAAGCTTCTCGGTGAGATAAATCCAACAAGCGCAAGATCATTTAATTATGACATCATTAAGACACTTAAATACTTATAAAATATTATTCGATCAAAGGAATCACTCTGGGTTGTTCAATGGAGTGGCTCGAATTCATACATTATTTATGAAGAATATCACTCACACAATCCATAAATAAATCCTCACCCGCTTCATGGAGGGGGGCATGAACTTGGAGGAGAAAGTTGAAGGAGCTCAAAGCTCTCGAGTATTCCTGAGCTCCACCACTGCCTGACCACTGCCATATAGCCGCCACCATTGTCGAACCGCCATTGTTTAACCACCACATTTGCGACCGTCTAATCACCATTTTTGTTGTCTGCATACCGCCATTGTCTAGCAGACGCTGTTGTTGGATAGTCATTGTCTTGCCACCATAGTCGTTACCGTTGGACCACTGTCGTCGGGCAACCACCGTTATCTCATCGAACCACCGCAGTCATTTTCGTCGGATAATTGTCACCGTTGTCTGACTGCTACTCTCTTTTTATCGAAACATTACAATTTTTATCTTTGTACCATCGCCGACTGACTGCCACTGCAGCTGGACTATCGCCTTCTGAATGCCACCACCGTTGGATCACTGCTTTTTGGCCACCACCATCATTGTCACAAGACCAATGCCATCGCTGCCACTAGACCATGTTTGTTTGGCCACCACAACCGCTATAACCCAGCTACCAGGCCATCAACATTGTCGCGGTCAGGCCATTGACGGCTTGCCGCCTTGACCACCAGAGCATTGCTGCCCAACCACCACAATCATCTCCATAGGACTAACTCCATCTGGTCGCCACCTGGCCACCGCTGCCAACCATCGCTATTTTTGCCGCCAAACTACCGTTGATCGACCACCATTGTCGTTGCCCCCAGACCACCGTCGTTTGGCCACTGCCGTCAGATAGCCTTCGTCAGGCTGCCACTACCGAAGGCACTGGCATTAGATTTTCTGGCACAGGACCTCTTACTTTGGTCTTCCTTCATAGCATTTGGGTCGTCGCTACTTCTCTAACCTATTATGTCATTCTCTTAGCAGAAGCCACATTGATAATCCCCACTTGTAATATTGCTTCTAGCTATTAAAGAGCCAGTAAAGTCTTGTAACCTACAGCGACACAGTAAATCATTTCAACTGGACTAGACCCTGTAATTTTTATACTTTCAGATTTTGACGTAAATTGTTGTTCTGTGTCACTTTTTTTATTTGTGTGCATCTTGAATATTCGTATAACACTAAGTTGTTGATATATCACTGTACCATCGCAAATTTACCAGCACAAAAAGAATTATATCAACTAAAACAAGAAACAAAATTGACGTTAAACGAGCTTTTACTTTTTTAAAAGTTAGTATTAGTTATTTATTTTCCATTTTGTATTATTATTAATATTTTATTTATTTAATGCGTGTTTGTGTGTGTGTGTGTTATAATGGCGTGGCTGACACTATTCGTGTCTTATATTTTCAATAGTAAATATGTCTCATGTCCGTGTCATATCGTGGTTATAATGGCGTGGCTGACACTAGCTGACACTATTCGTGTCTTATATTTTCAATAGTAAATATGTCTCATGTCCGTGTCATATCGTGTCCGTGACCTCATGTCTCTATCTGTGCAACATTAAATAGGATCACAGACACAGAAAATAAACATGGGTTTATCGATGACTGGTTGAGAGACATGGGAATTAGTGTGTTGCTCTGCAGACTTGGGGTGGGGTTATTGTAATTGGGTAAGCAATATGGGGACATATGCATAGGAGGGATAAATTTCAAACTGATACCACTAAGGGGCTATTTGGTTGCCTGTAAAAGGAGTGTATTGTATTCCTTTTGTAGGGGTTTTAAGAATTCAAATATTTAATCGAAAGAATTTGTAATGTAAAAATAATAATGAATTTAGAAATCATTCCTTAGTTCAGTTTCTCTGTATTTGAAATTTAGTGGATTTCACCGAATTTTAAATTCACAGCCCTATGTAAAGTCTGACGGCAGTTGCTACTCGCCCACCGCTTGGATCGTCCTTGCTTGTCACTGCCAACTACCACTGTCGTCACTCCTGGCGTCCAATAATTTATATGGAACCTCTCATTCTTTGATGTACATTATTTTAATTCTCCAAATCAAACAAAAAAAAATATGAAGTTATACATTTATTTTACATTGAACCGACTAACTTTAAAATATTTCAAATACAATATATTATTTTGTATTGCACTCATTTTATATTGTGTTACTTTTTCAGCAATCCAAACACCTTAGGTGAATTCTAGATTTTTCAATGATGTTTTTTGCTATATTACAAATCCTTTATAAAAAGACTTCGCATTTATTTCATTTCTAGCAAACATTAGAAAAATCAATATATACAATTTCTTTATTGCACCAAAACAAGTAACACAACATCTTGAATAAATTGTTTTCAATTTTCGACTATGCGTGGTACATGTGACCACAAACTCAACCTGAAATAAATGGTTTCAACTTAATTTTGTGAATAATTGTAACTAACAATGAAGTAGTCGAATTTTGTTGTCATGTGGTTGTGAATGTCACAATAAGAGTGTGACTTATCCATGAAAGGAGAGCAGTGCAATTTAAAATAAACGTAAAACTTCATATTTTTTTTGGTAGGCTCAGAATAATGAGTAGTTCAATTGAGAAAAAGGATAGCAAATGACACTGTTGAGATGGATAAATGTGTTTTATTTTACGATAATGCTGCATTTCTTTTACTATTTTCAGCTTTTATTTTAAATGTAATAGTATATGTTTCTTTTAAATGTTAACTGTAAGATAAAAATGAATAAAATATGGTGTATGCATGCTTATGGGAGACCCATGGGTGCTACTAGCAGAGGAATGCAATATACCTGCGAAAATAGAAATGAAAAATTTTATATATTTTTATGGTGGATGGTGGGTTGGAAAATGTTAAACGTATATTTTTATAAAATATACATTTAGATGGTGACTCCCAATTATAAAAAAATGTAATATAAATAAATGAAAGGAAATAAAACTAGCTTCTTTACTGCTCTCTTTTATTGCACAGTCTTTTATTGTTATTGTTCTTTTACAAAATATTTTAAAATG